CAATCAATCTTGATTCTTGGGAATGCTTGTCTCTCTCTATTATAATCATTTGTTGACTTGACCTGACTTGGGTGCCTACCTTAATTGTTTGATTGATTTGGCTGAGGTTTGAGTCCCATGTTGACTCAATAAAGTAGTTCTGCTACAATAGTGGACATATATGGCATTTTAAAAAGTAGGCTTTTTATCACAAATGACCCTTAACGTTTACAAAATTATCACGAATGGTCATTGATCTTTTTTTGTGACACTAATAGTCCTTAACGTTTGGGTTTTTTATCACAAATGGTATCTACCGTTATAAATTCCGTTAAGTGTGATGTAGAAGTTAAAAGGAGCCCACATGTCCAATCACATTGTGACATGTGGATTAAAAAAATAATTAAATACATTTTTAATGAAATTTCCATATTTTTTTTCTGCAACTTTTCATCCCCTTCCTTACTCTGTCTTTCTCCCCCTCTGCCCTTGCTCTCCACCCTTTGCTCTCCATCTCTTATCCCTTTATTTTTTTTCTTTCCATCTGCCACCTGCAAGAAAAAATATAAGATATACATTTGCTCTCAGGGACGGATCCACAGAGGAGCAAGGGTGGTCAAGTGACCCCTGCAACTCTGGGATCTGCCATTAGATGGGAGAAATTTGACCTCTGCAAACTGCTCGATAAAAATCCCCAAATAGCAGCGCTCTTCTCCCCAGTGTGCAACGCTCTTATCGACCTCCAATTTGATGCTCGTTAGCTATCTGTGAGTTGCTCACTGATCTGAGATTTCAGTTTAGCTTGAAGTATTTGACAGAAGTGAAGATAACTGTTTGGTGATATCTTCACTTTGATCTTCAATATTCTTCACTTTGAGTACCTATTGGTTGGTCTGTAGGGAGAAATTATAAAAAAAAAAACAAAAACAAAAAACGGGCTTCTTTTTATTTTAACTTTGATATTTGACAAAACTGAAGATTACTGCTTGGTCAGCCCATCATCTGCACATTTTGTACGGATATTTGGCAAAAGTGAAGATTACTGCTCGGTGGGACTGATATTTGATGCTTCATTTTGTATTTCGTTGATTAAATATTGATGGAATTATAAAATTAAGATCTTGAAGTATTGGGCTTGGGGAAATTAAGGCATTCCCAGCTATTTGGTTTGTCTTGGCTGAAATAGATTTCTTAAGAAAACGAAACAACAGAGAGGCTCAATTAGTCTTGGCTGAAATAGGTTGGGTTCTTGAGGCAACAAAAAAACATAGGGAGAAGGAAAGCACAGGAAGGAGAAAGGGTAGAGGAAAAGAGAGATAGAGAGACATAGAGAGAGAGAGAGAGAGAGGCTAAATGATTTTTTTAATGAATTTTCATTAAAAAAAATTATTTCTTTATTTATTTAATCCACATGTCACGATGTAATTGGACATGTGGGTTCCACTTTTCTTCCACCTCAGACACTTAACAGAATTTTTTACAGTAGGGACCATTTGTGATAAAAAGTCCAAATATTAAGGACTATTAGTGTCACAAAAAAACCTCAAGGACCATTTGTGATAATTTAGAAAACTTGAAGGACCATTTGTGATAAAAACCTAAAAAGTCTAATGGGTTTGAAATTTTTTCTCGAAAGTAAATTAGAACAAAGATCTTCGTTCGGATATTAAAACCAAAGGGAAAATTTCCATACCAAATACAAACATAATGGGTTTGAATGTTAAGAGGGCAAGAACTAGCTTCCTCCTCATCAAAATCATTATATAAAAAATACATAAAGTAAAACAATGGTTAAGGGAGAGGGTGAGGGTGATGTGGGATGATAACAACTTCTCGTTGACGATGGTTTGAATGTTTGACTCAAGTGTTGATTTTAAAGAAGTTGGGTATTTTGTTTTGACAGGGGAATGAGTGGTTTCTTGAAAATGCATGTATTTGTATAAAGAATGAGTGTGAGTGGTGAGAGCATTTTGTGGAGGTGTGAAGTAGAGGTGTCAAATGGGGCTAACCGGCTCAACACTGTACAAGTCCAATTCATTTAAATAGAGCACAATACTGTCCAAACATAATTATTGATAGATTGTGTTAAACACGACATAGAAGCATGGGTCGCGCAAGAATCATAAAATTAAGCTGGTATTGTGGAGAGCATGGATCTCATCTTATTTCTATGCTTTGATAGTTGAATCAATCAAAGAAGAAAGCATAACAACTATGGGATGAGTACAAATGAATAAAATGGAAGTGTGAAAAACGCCATGAAAAAGAAGGAAATGTTAGCTACCTTCCTATTTGTACATTTCTACCTTTTGCAATCTCAAATCTGCTTCTCATCCCATAATGTAGTTTGATGAACATAACTACCTTCTACACCCTCCCCTTCCTCTTCTTGTTAGTCTTAAAGATTATATTTGCAACCAAAAAAAAAATAATAATTAAATCCAAAGTCGTTTAGGGCCTGTTTGGTATTTGATTTGAGTCTAATTTTATAAACTCAAAAACAGATTTTAAATTTAAAGGCCCAAAAACTCATTTGGTATGCCCATTTTTAAAAACTCAATCTCAAAACAAACTTAAAAAGACCCCTATTATTAAAAACAAAATAAATGCGTTTTTCTTGTTTTTTTTTTTTCGCGTTCGCTCTGCTGGTTCACTCTACGCTCAAGCCTCCAACCTCCCCCGGGGGGGGCGCGAGATGCCCCGGCCTCTCCCCCTCCTGCTCCTCTTAAAAAGACCCCTATTATTAAAAACAAAATAAATGCGTTTTTCTTGTTTTTTTTTTTTCGCGTTCGCTCTGCTGGTTCACTCTACGCTCAAGCTTCAAGCTTCCATGGGAGAAGCTTGAAGCTCGCTTGCTCCATCTCTCTCGTCGTCCTTCTCTCTCTTCGTCCCTCTCTCGCTACCTCTCTCCTCCTTTCTCTCATCAGTTGAAACCTTAGAAATTGGGGATTTCCAAATCAAAGGTCTGTTTGCTTTTTCTATTCCTTTTGTCTTTTGGTTTCTCAAATTTTTTTGGATAGCCAGATTTTGTTTGTTGTTTAATGTGAGTTTCTGTTTAAATTTGATAATGAGTTTCTTTTTTCTGGTATGTAGAACCACCTTACTTATGTATAAAATAATATGCTAGTTTTATGTCTGAACTTTCTGTAACTTTTTATATATACACCAATTAAGCACATGCATATACACAATAGGACATGAGATTGCTTTCATGTAGACAAAATCAAAAAGTTTTGATTTGGGAATCCATATTTCCACATCTCAAACTCCTTTTTTCTTTGAATTATGGGGTAGGAATATTTGTGTTTTGATTAAATACTAAATTATCACACTATTAATTAAAATAGCTAAACAATTTAAGTTTTCTATTTTTATTTTGCATGAATAGTTTTTAAAGGATGACCTCATAAATGACCGATTTCGATTATCATACAACACAACATGACATCATAGAGGGCAAAGTAAGCTGCCGCCTACTCCGATTTTTCCCAAATAAATAATTACCCATATACAATCATGCGGGGCCCACTTCAGAAGTACACTGCCGCCTGCTCTATTATTAAGATATATGATTTATACCCACTTCAAAAGTACAATCACGTGGCTCCTAGACTAAACAAGTGGGAAATAAAAAATAAATAGAAGAAAAACATACCCCCGAAGGTTTATACCTATTATTTTTATGTATGACCTTTTCACATAAATTGTTAAAAATTTATCCTTTTGACCTTTTGACATGTATCACACTTTTTTACTGCTGGTGAGTTTTTCTGTCAAACTCCATATCAAATTTAATTAGTTTAATTTATTTAATTACAGTTTGTTAATCTTTCTCTTGTTTTCTCTCTACCTATATTTTTTTCAGTTTGTGAAATTATGATTTTTTTTCTTTTTATTTATTTTTTAGGCTTTTAAAAATATTTGCTAAACCGCTATTCAACTCTAAGTATATATTTGTCTATTCCTTAAAAAATTTATTGCTTCGTATGTAATTGTATGTCCCTTTGTTGCAATTGTGAACTTGTGAACTTGTGTTGATGAATTTTAATTTTATTTTATGATTTCAAAATATAAAAACTCGTCGAGTACAATTATGATTGTAATGAATAGATAATATGATTTTTTTTTATTAATTTATGTTTTTGTATCTTGTAAGAATTTGAATTTTTATTGTTTATATTTTGTGAGAGGCCCTTACACACATGAAAACTTTGTTTTGCCAATGTTTATAAAGATGCATATTTAAGGGTATGACTTATTATGTCACCCATGTCTAGCTAGGTGTATCTTTTTATGTGTATTAATAAAATTCACTTGTACCGTTGAGTTTTTAATGTAAGCTTCGCCTACTTGACTTTTGAATAATAGATCCGCCACTGATCATAGAACCAATTAACTGTTAATTTAATGATATTTCTCCTCCACAATATTGGAAAATGTCCCAATTCAAATATCCCTCCCCTAAATTTTTTTTAAAAAAAAAATCAAAACATTTCATAATAAATAAATAAAAAGGGAGAAAATCTTTTGCTTTTCTCAAGGGAAAAAGAAAAGGGGTTGGCGTTCCCAAAAGAAAAAAAGAGAAGAAAATCCAAAGTTTCCCAAAAGTATGTGTACAATCATAATTGCAAGTACAACATTATCCAATTTTAGATCAAATAGCCATGTCCAAAATCCCCATATAGTCCTCTATCTTATGACTCTCTGGTCCGTTCCATAAATAGACAAAAAACACAGTCCCAATTTAGTAATTTCCCCAAAATTCCAGACCACTTTCCAAACCCAATCACCACAAACAATAATCTCTCACCCCACGCCTGCAATCACTACCACCAGCCGTTGGATTACATTACCATTACCCATCCAGTGCAAATGGGCCCCACCCACGGTTACATCACTCATCACCCTCACCCACACCCACCATAAACAACACGCATGTGAGATGTGGGCCCCGCACCCCATCAACATCCCATCAATCGCAACCGTCCACAAAACCCCGCGAAACCTCATAGCTTGCTCCCACGTAGCACTGAATCATCCCCCTGCATTATAATTGAAAAGAAAATGATTTTCGCTTTTTTGATTTATTTGTTTTGGGGAAATCATTTTATTACCCATTTGCGGCTCTCTAAGGAAACACAGCGCCAAGCTCTGTGAAAATCTTAGCTATTTTTGGGCAACCTTCAATTTTGTTGATTTTCGAAGCTTCTTCTTCGTCTTCGAGCTCAGAAATTCCAGCTGGAGCTTAAAGTTGCAGGGTTTTAGGGTTAGGGTTTGGTATTGAAATTGTATTGGTTTCGTTGTGACGGAGACGATGATTGGTTGTCCGGTGGAACGGGGTTAGGGTTTGAATTGGGAGAAGGTGGTGGTGGTGAGGCTGGGGATTTTGTGTGGAGGGAGTATTTGATGGCGGCCGTGAATCCGCAGCCACTGCAAGCGCGACCATTCGAGGAGCACGGGAGAGGTCCGATACCGATCGAAGACGATGAGGCTGAGTACGAAGATGGTGGTGATGATGGTATGGAGGACATGGAAGAGGTTCATGTGAATTCCGTCAGCGTTGCGGAGCGTGGAGGAGGAGGAGGAGGAGGAGGAGGTGTGGTTATGGCGTCCAGGACTAGTGAGCTCACTCTGTCTTTTGAAGGCGAGGTCTATGTCTTCCCTGCTGTTACACCTGAGAAGGTCTCTCTCTCTCTCTCATTTTCTTTTTTTAAAAGTATATTTATTGTAATAAGAACCTTTTTTCTTCTTCCCAAATATTCATTTTATGCCTGTTCGGTTGTACTGTGCTTCTGTACTATATTATCTTTTGCGAGCTTTAAGTTACTGGGTTTTGTATTTGTCCTTGTAATTGCAAAGAGTTGATATGGGGTTCTGAAATATGGGCGTTTACTGCAAACTATTTGCTGTCCAACGAAAAATTGAAAATTAAGGGACTTGAAGTATCGTTGTTTATGATAAAATTTCATTTGATTATGATTCAGTTCCTCTACTTATTAATATTTTCTTTTGAGATTAAATATATAAGTTTATTAATTGCAAATAAATATATAAGTTTATTTATCTACTCCTGGATTCCATTGTGACTTGGCGTTTAAACTTATCCTTTGGAAGAAGAGTAAAAGTATATTGTATAATGTTCGAATATGTAAAGCAATATGGGGACAATAATTATTGGCAGGACATTATAGTTTGAATTGTAGATCTGCAATAAGACATCTTTTCAAATTAAAAATTTCATTCGGTTTTTATGAACTTCCATTCCGTCATTTGCTTCATTATAACTAACTATTGGATTATGATAATCCCTTTAACTAGTTGAAGCCAAGCCAATCTTTATCTGTTCCTGTTTTCCCAAAGTTGGCCTTACATCTGTTTACTAAATTTACTATAACATGTCTTTGCTGGTTTGCATTATGCTTAGTTTAAAAGTAGGCTCAGACTTTGGATTCTATATAACAGGTGCAAGCAGTACTCTTGCTATTGGGAGGACGTGATGTACCAACTGGTGTGCCTACAGTTGAAGTGTCTTACGATCAGAATACACGGGTAATGCATATGTTGACACTAATGAGACCAATTTCAATGCATCTTCTGTGCTTATGTTCATGTGTTGCCTTCCACAATCTCTAGGGTGTGGCTGACACCCCAAAACGTTCAAATCTTTCACGAAGAATAGCTTCACTGGTTCGGTTTCGTGAAAAACGGAAGGAGAGATGCTTTGACAAGAAAATTAGGTACACAGTCCGTAAAGAGGTTGCACAGAGGTAAGACAAATTTATGACCCTTCCTTCCCTTCCTTCATTCCATTTTATTTTCCTCTGGATGGGAGGGGGATTGGGGGATTTGGATTTGACAAGAGAATCAGTATTGTGTAATTATGGGTCAGAATTTATGTTTGTAAGACCTAGTAAATTATAGCACCTTATACCTTTTGTTTCAGTTGCACCAACTGTTATTACATTCTGAATGCAGTTTGATCTTGACTTTAGGTACTTGAAAGTTTGATATGTATATCCTTGCCTTATAACATTTTCTCTTCATGTTCTGTCTACTTCGAGATGGTTTCTGAGCTGTTAACTCTGTAATTTGATAGAATTTTTATTTGTTCCAGAACAGAATGGCTATCTATTTACTGAAAAATAGCCTGCCTATGTAACTATGAATATTGGGTTTGAGCCAATGAGTATAGACTTACCTTTTGGTTTACACATGTAGTAGTTTTGAAGTTTATTTACGAAACAAAAAACAGAAATCAACATCTGTAATTTTTATACGTCTATTTTTGGTTGTAAGTTAGATTTTATTTGGAGCAGGGCAGAAGTTAGAAATAGGAATTAGATACCAAAAGCTGTTTGGTTTTTTCTTTATCTCTACTTGCCACGTTGTCAGAGACTTGGAACATGCATCCAATGCCTCTAGAAAAAGCATGTAGAATTCTAGAAAAGGAGGATTTAGTCACAACTTATGACATTCAATTTGGCACTCTTAATCCCCCGCACATTGCCAAGTTTCTCTGTTCCAGTTTTTGAAAGAATATTGAACTTTCCTAATCCTAACCCTGAACTGGACTCTCCTCCCACCAAAGCTTCAAAGTATTGCTGAAAGATCTGCAATGAAATCACTCTCACCCATTCAACTTCCGATGGACAAGCTTATGTTAAATCAATTTCGACCCAGACTACCTGGGAGGTGGCTGGTTGAGGTGTAAGTTGTGCTTCGCACTAGAGCAAAACTTTTGGTGGTGCTCAATCCTTAGGAGTAAGTAAAAAGTCCAGTCTAATAGCAGGGATATTAGACTCTGGATGGGAGCCATTCAATTCTTGAAGCACTTTATGGGATCTATATTTTTTTTAGGAATTTGTAGAGATCTCTCAGAATTTTCAGCTGTGTTGTCTTGGATAAATAATGTCTCTTCAAATGTGGATGAGAGCCATCTTTTTTCTTTGATGAAATTGTGCATTATGTGTATTTTGTATTGTTTATTTTTCTTTATTTATAATGTCTCTAAAAAGTTAGTGCATTCTTCGTATTGAAAATTTTGAGGAAGAAATCAACTATTGTCTATCTCATCCATTTTATTGGTTTTTTTTTTTTTTGGGAATGCTTAAATACTTTCTTAATAAATGGTCTTCTGTGCTGGTTTCTATGTGAGATATGGATTCAATTTGTTTACATTAACATGAAAAATGGGAAGATAGGGAGATTCATTATTGATGCAGATGTTAAAAAATCTACAATATTGTTGTTTGCATCTTCAATGGTCCTATGGTGTTAATGATGTGTCATTCTTTTTGTTATTGTTATCATTATGATAGGATGCTTCGTAAAAATGGACAGTTTGCATCGTTAAAACAAAATTCAGGTGATTCTGGTTGGGATTCGGCACAAAGTGGCCTTCAAGATGGCACTTCTCGACCGGAAACTGTGTGAGTTCCAACTGCCAAGCTAATTCTGGTTCTACTGATTTCCGCAGTTGATGATTTGTAGTTCTTATTGAAGTTTTCCTGTTGACGATGTTGTTGTGTTCAACGCTTTTACCTGTTTCTGCTGCATTTTCAGCTTACGGCGATGTCAACATTGTGGAGTTAGTGAAAATAATACTCCTGCAATGCGCCGTGGACCTGCTGGCCCAAGAACCTTATGTAATGCATGTGGTCTTATGTGGGCGAATAAGGTTGGTTTATTCTGTTTGTTTTTACTCTGTAAAATTATTAATTTTCTGATATGCCAACTTGTCAATCTCTCTCTCTCTCTCTCGTCCTTATTGCTATGGTCACAGATGCCTGTTACTGTCTCCTCAAGTAACTTTCATTTTCCTTCACCAGTTTATTGATTGTGCAGGGAACACTGAGAGATCTCAGCAAGGGAGGAAGGAACCTTACCATGGACCATATAGAACCTGTATGTGCAACATTTGATATAGAGAATATGCAAATTTCTTCAATATAGAAGTTGAATCCATTTTCAAGTGGTTAATCATTATTTATATGCTTCTCCCTTATGTTGTAAGTTAGCTGAGAATATATTTTTTTTAAAATCTAGCCTTTTTACACTTTAGTCCTCAAGTATTTGTGCTTTGCTGTTTTCCTGTTGCTACCATTGGCATGATCAATCTACATAATGACAAAAATGATATTTACAGGGAACACCAATCGAAGTGAAGCCTTTACTTGTTGAAGGAGAATTTTCTGGAAACCAGGATGAGCATGTATAATTTTTCTCCCCAATTACTATTACCTCCTATGCGAAGTGCTGTGCTCGTTTTATATACCTAATAATTATGGTGTGCACAGGGAACACTTGAAGGTCCTTCTAAAACAGTTATTGAAAGATCCAATGATGCTTCTGTCAACCTGGATGAACAAGTACGTTTTGCATTTATGGTGCTAGCTCTGCTATGCTTATTTTTGTATTGTTTGTTATGCAACATCAAACATGCTGATCTAAGTGTTTTTCCTTGGACAAGTTTTAGCTGTTTTTATCGGACCCAAAGTACACTTATTAGTTGGGGGACCTAGGATTGAGATTGTGAGATGAACCAAAATACAAACGCAGTACTAGTTAACTACCAAATGTGTATGTTGTGCACACTAGCATCGTTTTATAACATTTATAAGTAAAGTTCATTAGTAATAGAAGTCTAAAGAGCATCTGGTCTTATGTTGATGAACACAGGTGGCTAACCGACCGCAGACCACATTTTGACAAATGTACTGTAGATTGACTGATAAGCTGTCGGCTCTCTTTCATGAATCAGATTCATTTATTTATTGAACTCACATTCGACTAGCATGTATATTTTCTGGTCAGAATACTTTTTGGTGTTGGGTGATAAATATAATAATCATCTTGTTGGTTTTAAAGGTCACTGACAGTTCTTTTCTAATATTTGGTCACAATACACATGTAGCATATTGAAATAACTAGTCAGAAAAATTCACAGCATAAATCTTCTTTTTTATATTTAATCAGATCAACCTGTAAAATATGTATTTAGTTTTTGTTGTTACATGCCGCAGGATTTGCATGAAACCGCTGAAGATCTTACAAACAGTTTGCCGATGGGGATTGTTTCCTCAGCCAATGATGAGCAGGTATGATATGTATATGGGCCAAATAGTTGTGCAGAGTCCTCTTTATGTAACTAGTTATTATAATGGATAGATTCCGGTCTGTGCTAATAATCAAGCAAAGAACTACGGTCCAATGAAATTTAAAAGCATACCCTTGTGTGTGTTTTGATCCCCGTTAATAAATGAGGCCTCTTTGATATACAATAACTTACGTTGAAGTTTTGGTATCCCCAGGAACCTCTGGTTGAGCTCACTAATCCTTCAGATACAGATTTAGACATCCCTACTAATTTTGATTAGAAGGTGATGATTTGTTAGCCAATTGATGCCAGGAAGTGTGGATGGTTTAGTTCATGTCCTTGTGCAGCATACGCGTCAAAGTTTTCGAACGTATAAAAGTACAGACATTTAGGAACTTTAATCTCTGCAAACAACCAGGACCTTCCGGCTGCAATGATCTCGTGAATGGAGGCACATTGCTACTTTCAGATGACGATAGATGACGTGATGTTTATATAAGTTATTTTTATCTTCTGTACAAGAGTTGTTAGGAGATATGGTTGAGAGTGTTCAGCGTTTTCTAATATATGTAATTTATTTAGGTCTGTTCTGATTGCATTTTATTGAAATGCTGCCTTTCATTTGTAAGTCATAAATCATAATGTTGATGTATCATCAAATAGAATTAAACCCCAAACTGATGAATGGTAGAGTCAGCCAATTGACATTGCATTCTCAGCGCCTTTTCTTCCACTTTCAGATGACAATTAGACCAAGTGGATGTAAATATTATAAAACAGTGCATTGTAGCGTCCGTGCTCAAATAAACTTTGAAATAGGAAACAAAATTATCTTAAAATGCTTGTGAGAATATTGCAAGTCAAAGTGTTTAGTAACTCTAAGAATTTCCCTATCACTCTCTTAAAAGAAAGATTCCAATAAGCTACCTATAAACGCAGAGAGAGATAAAATAGTGTGGGAAGAGAGAAGAGCACATAAAAAATTCATTTGATTCCATTGAAGAGATTTAGAAAATTACAATTCAACCCTTCATCATCATAAAAGAATATTGATCTAAAGTGTAATTTCTATGAAGTTGGTTTCCAAAACACGAAACCGAAAGAATCCCTAAATAGAGACTAAAGAGCACTTTACATTTCTGTGTATATGTATATGTTATGTACTAAGAGAGTTGCTCATTGTCGAGACAAGAAATTGATCCAATATGTTGGTGAGCTTCCTCCTTTGTGATGGTGGTGCTATTAACTTTGACAAGCACAAAGCAAAGTTGAGAGTCATGGTTGAGGCGGAATGACCAAAGCTGCACCATCTCATCTTCCTCGAGTTTATTTGCCTCGGCAACCTTTCTCCATCCCGAAACCAGATTGTACACATGGTTGCCTCCCATTTGCCATTTCTTCAGGCGTAAAGAATCGAAGCTCAGATCATATGGGTTGAGCATCAATACAGGGATACCAATCAGCCGCTTCTTCTTGTCAGTGTCACGAATATCCAAATCACTCTGCTCCTTTTCCTTAAGAAAGTCTGCGCTTTTGCCCTTAAACCCTGGTATCGAAAATCGAGCATTATTTGCAGACATATCAGACGCACATATCTTCTTCTGGATTACAAGTTTCACATCTCCACCAATTCCACTAATCTTGTGTTTTAGTTCTTGAGGCAACTCTGGTTTTGGCTCCAATTGTTCATTTTGAACATGAACCCTTTTCTGCTTCTTCTTTTTCTGGTTCAGATTGTTGTTGTCGTTGTTGTTTTGGAGAAGGTTGTCACTCCCAAAACAATTATGATCATCAGAATATTCTCTCTCCCTTTTAAGAGAAAGAGGGCCAAGTCTACTCCTTTTCTTCTTTGGAATGAAAATGTCATTCAACTCAAACCCTAGCTTGCCTGCCAAAACCCTTTGTTCCCTTCCCTTTCGAGCAAAGAAGTTGATCAACTCTTCAACAACGGTCTTTTCATCCAAAAGCAACTCCATTGATTGCTGGATTGCTACATCAGCCAATAGCTCCAAGGAAGACAGATATGAAGATGAAGATGGAGATGCCGATGCCCTTTTCTCAACATCTTCCTCCCGATGTTTCACATCAACTTCATAAGACTCAAGATTCAGAGAATTCGAAGGAAACTCATCAACCCCAGAATCAATAACCTTCATTTTGCCCATCACTCCCATTGAAACAAACCCACACACAAACAAATTAAACTTAGAAAAGAGACGAACTTTACTGCTTAGACTGACAGAATGAACAGAAAAACAAGTGGGTTTCCAAAATGTTGAGTGACAGAGAGATCACTCAACTTCCGAATTGAAGAGAGCGAGAGAGAGTTTGCTGTGAATTGAACTGGGTTTCCAAATTATGATGAGATATACAAGTGGGGGTTTCCTTATATGAAGAGGATTCACGTTGGAGAGAGAGAGTGTGTTTCCAAATCCTTTGTGGTGCTGGTGTTATTATCCTTGAAGGCCAAGGAATTAAACCAACTGGCAAAGCGATTCAAATCTCATTAGGATCCTAACTATAAGTTGCTTTTCTGCTCTTGCTCTGTTTTCGAACGCTGCTTCTCTCATATGTATTCCACGTTTTATTTATTTCCTTTACTTTTAATGCCTTCAAAATTTTAAAAAAATGACGCAGGTGGTTTGGCCTTTTTTCTTTATTTTTAATTTGATTTTTTTTTTATATAAAAAGATTGTTGGAAAATTTTAAAAAAAATTAAAATCAACAATGCTACAATTTTTACCTAATTTATTTTTTTAAAAAAATATTACGGTCAATTTTGTGTGGGCACATAATGTAAATATGATATATATAAAGTAAATTTAGGTTTTAGTAAAAAATAAAAAAAATTTCACTTTTGGAAAAAGCCAAAGCTTTTTCAAAAAAGACAGAAAAACCTCTTAACTTTCAAATCAAAGACATGCAAATGTAAAGAATTCCTTAGGAAATCTAAAAATAAATAAGGGCAAATTTGTCCATTTTAGCTTCTTTTACAAAATTTCTCTCTCTTTTGTGTTTTTCTAAAGTCTCTCCATGGACACTATTTGAGAGATGTATATTCGTATGTATTTACAGTAGGAAATCACTTATGTGGGCGTGGTTAACTGGTTCTCCAACATGGTTGACTTCCTAATGCTACGATATATCATACATGTCAAGGGTCGCACACAAACTGGGAAAAAGAAAAGTTGAGATAAAGAGCTAGGATATTAAGCATATTTTCATTTTAAAATAGGAATGATCGGATGAATAAAGCACGACTATTCTTAATAGGTTTTTTCCTTATTGACCTAATGAAAGTGAGGAAGATTTGTGATTGTGTCGTGACTTATTATTCTAACTAGCCTATTTCCGTGCGCACTTACATGTATGCAAAAGACATTTATTATCTCACGTGCGCTTGCGATTGATAAGTCCATAAATGTACTAATTTATATATTATTTAAATCCATATTATATAAACTAGCCCCTTGGCACATGCTCATGCATGCGCCAATTGGTTATTTATTTAAATTTAAAATTTTAGAATTAAGAAAAGATAACATGGGTAATCACGTTCCATAAAAGTATGACATATTATCTGATTTTATTTTTAATTTTAATTTTCTCTGCCTTTTGCTTTATATATATAGATTATTTTTATATTTTAAAAAAAGGGTGGAGCCCACCAATACACCGGATTCCACGCTCTATTAGAGAGTTGGTGCCCAAAGTTGGTGCCTCTAGCATTTTCCTATATATATATACAGAGCAAAAAGTAGAGAATGGTAAAACATTCAAACATTAAGAATTGAAATTATTAATTAAATGAGGATAATATGATAAATTCACATTTTTTTCACATTAAAAAAAGGAAAATGCTAGAGGCACCAACTTTGGGCACCAACTCTCTAATAGAGCGTGGGATCCGGTGTATTGGCGGGGTCCCACTCTATTTAGGAGTTTGGTCATGTAGGATTCCGTTTGTATAGATTTACACCTACTGATTACTTAATATATATATAGAGTAAGAGTAATGCTAGGCTTACCACATTTTTCATACCACAATTGTACCACCTCTCTAATAGAGGTGGAGCCCACCAATACAATGGGGCCCACCTCTATTAGAGAGGTGGTACAATTGTGGTATGAAAAATGTGGTAAACCTAGCATTTTCCATAGAGTAATGCTACACTTACCACATTTATATCCCACATTTTCATACCACCTTATGTAGCAGATAAAGTGGACAATCACATCAATTAAAAAGTGTCAATAAATCATAAAAGATAAGAAAACTTTAAATTAATTTTAATTGATGTGTTGTCCACCTCATCTGCCACATAAGGTGGTATGAGAATGTGGTATACAAATGTGGTAAGAGTAGCATTATTCATATATATATAGATACATCAGTCCTCGAAAAGCCAAAAATGGAAAAAATAAAAATAAAGTAATAAGTCATTTTTTTAAATCAAATTCTCCTAACCGTTAACCGCTAACCGATATGCATGATGAGCTTCTGTGACGCTCTTACACGAAGACGAGTGGGATTCAATTCAACTGAGATTCTTACACCCTGGAGGTGGGCCCTTCCTACGTAGAAGCTGTTGAAGTCATCCGATGACGGTTGATCAGGAGCCGTTGATTTCAGTGACCCAAAGGCTATGTACTATAACCATACAGAGCAGGGGGGGCAGGCTTACAGCTGTTTTAAACGTTTTATTCTCCCATTGATTACCCTACAACTTGTAATTTTAACTCTAAATAGACGAATCTTGCATAAATTGGAAGTAATCATTTTCATTTTCATTTTCGTTTGTTCTCCCAAACCAAGTAATACTTATCATCAACAAAGACGAGCAAGAAGCTTGTTAAAGAGAAACAAGAGAGGAAGAAAACTGAGAAACAGACTAGGTAGGTTGAGAGGAGAAGGAGATGAAGGGAGAAGAATTAGGAAAAATGATACTTGTCTCAAGCATTGTTTGTGTAACGTTGCTGCTGTTGTTGGCTATGATCAAGATGTTTGAAAAGCTATGGTGGAAACCGACTCGCATTCGGAAGCTGATGGCTCTGCAGGGGATCAAAGGCCCTTCTTTCAGACTTATCCATGGAAACACCATAGAAATCTCCAACATGAAAAGGGAAGCAATGAGCAGGCCCATGAGCTTATTACATGACAGCTTTCCTCAAGTTCAACCTCACATTCACTTGTGGACCAAGTTATACGGTAAAGAAACCCTTCCCCCTTCATGCATCTTCAACTACTGTAATTGTTTGATAAACAACCAAGACCAATTGTCAAACCTCAAGTCTGTTCATGATTGACATGATGATTCGTTTCAAACTCTGTCATTATTTGTATCTCATACTGCTGTTTGTTTGGTGCAACTATTTTTGTATTTTGAAATTCCTTCTGTGTCAACAAACTTGTTACACTTTGGAAACAGGGAAGAATTATCTTCAATGGCATGGCTCCAAACCTCAGCTTGTCATTACAGAAGCTGCAATATGCAAAGACATACTGAACAACAATGATGGGGCTGTTCAAAAAGCAGAGACAATAGGATATGTGAAGAAGCTATTAGGAGATGGCCTCACAAGATCCTCAGGTGAAAAATGGTCCAAGATGAAAAAACTGGCCAACCATGCCTTCCATGGAGAGAGGTTAAAAGTGAGTTCCTAACGTTATATATTATTGGTGATTCTTTCTTCGAGCATATCAAACTTAAAGTAGAATTTTCCTATTTTGTTCATCAGAGTATGATCCCAGCAATGATAGCCAGTGGCGAGACAATGCTTGAGAGGTTGAAAAACCATCAAGGCAGAGAGATTGAAGTTTACGACGAGTTCAGGTTTTTCACTTCAGAAGTGATCTCCAGAACAGCCTTTGGCAGCAGCTACTTAGAAGGCGAGAATATTTTTGAGATGTTGATGAAGTTAGCCTTCTTGACATTCAAAAATACTCACAAAATTAGGTTTCCAGGTATCAGGTACGTAACTCAGCCTCGTTATGCATAAAACTAAGTTTCCTTCAAGCTTTGCAGCAAACAACTATTGATCACACCAATGTTCTTTCATTTTTAATGTTGCAGTAAGATCTTTAAAACCAAAGATGAGATCGAATCAGCGGAGCTTGAGAAAGGAATACGCAACAGCGCAATGGAGCTTATTAAGAAAAGAGAAAAGAAGGCAATGGCTGGAGAAGAAGAAGGCTTTGGGAGTGATTTTCTTGGATTGCTTTTAGAGGCTCACCATGATACCAATGAGAAGCAGAGGATTTCAGTGGACGATTTGGTCGACGAGTGCAAGACTTTCTACTTGGCTGGACAAGAAACCACTACCAGTTTGCTTGCCTGGACTGTCTTTATTCTGGCCCTCCATAGAGATTGGCAAGAGGAAGCAAGAAAGGAGGTCCTACAACTATTTGGCAAACAAACTCCAAACCCTGATGGCATTGCCAAACTCAAAACAGTAAATAAGAAAAATCAATTCAATTATTTGGTTACTGTAAGTTTGAAATGCATGCTGATTATTTATTGTCTAATTTTAACTTTGATGCATGCAATGCAGATGAGTATGATTATCAATGAGTCCCTGAGATTATACTCTCCTATTGTTTCCTTGGAAAGGAAAACTGAGAGGGAAGTTAGACTGGGAAATCTCATAGTCCCTGCTAATGTTGAACTGCTACTCCCAAACCTAGCATTTCACCATGATCCTAAATTCTGGGGAGAAGACGTGCACCTTTTCAAACCAGAGAGATTCTCAGAAGGGGTTGCTAAAGCTACCAAGGATAACATGGTCGCATTCCTTCCCTTTGGAATGGGACCTCGAACTTGTGTGGGCTTCCAGTTTGTAACCATTGAAGCAAAGATTGCCCTGTCAATGATTCTACAGAACCACTCATTCACCCTCTCTCCGGCCTACGTCCACTCCCCCTTTCAATTTCTTACACTTAGGCCACAGCATGGCGTTCGAGTAACGCTACACCCGCTCTGAACTGTGTAGACCACGTGGATATGAGGTTGAATGCGGGGAAACCATGGCTTTGAGTTTCAGTCAAATAATGGTACTGGGTTTGTGAGTTTTATTTATGTACGTAGAGTCTGTTATTGGTACTTCAATAAAGTATTTGAGATAAATTGACAATAATGACTCCAATAATAGTTTCGTATTTTTTTTCTTTTTTATACAAACAATATTAAAGGAAGGAGATTCGAAAATAGGATTTTGGATCGCTCTTAATCACTTCAACTACAAACCCCTTTCATAGCTCTGTATTTATGCACGTAGGGAAGGAGTCCACAAACCTTGAAAGGAATTTTTTTTTGTGCTGCCTGATAAGAGCATCCACAATGAGCTCCTTAAACCACTTCCTTGAACAAATTTTAGGGAAGAATTGGAAAAATACAACTCTATCTATGCTCTCTATCTATCTCTTAAAATAAGGATATCTCTAGAAACTCCTAAATCTGAGGAGAGAGAAATGACACTTAGTGACTCCCTATAATTTAATGAATATTTCAAACCTTTAATTAATGTTAATTATTTTTTATATTATTTTTTACCATCCACTAACTGATATAAAGATAATCTGGAAAACATCGCAGCTGCCAAACATGCAATCCATGCGTGTGGAAATGCTAGTAAGGATATGGTCATAGCTATCTTTCCTGAACATACAACTAACAAAAGCATCTAAAATAAATTCTCTATATCATATTGATCCGGAAAAGAATTGAAGACCAGAGGATTGACTGGTAGTCCTTCAAAGAAAAACATGATTCATGTTAAGTTGTCACGATATGGTCAACTACTGTTTTATATTCTAATTCCTCATGCCTAATCAACTACAAACTTTCCTAAACTCTTAATTGGGGATTCTACCATGTAAGAAATGAAGTTGAATTACCACAAAAACAATAGATCCTAAATCTTCGAAAGGTTTATGAATTCGAACAGAGAAGGCAGCTGCGGAAATAGCCCGTAGGGACCAGAAGTTTAATACACAGTCTAGTAAAATGTAAGATAAAGTGGCTATCAGTTCCTTTGTTATAGACTATAAGAAACTGAATTTTATGGAAGAAAGGAAATGAGTACAGAAAGGAATGGAAAAGTAGTCCATTTAGGGATACCAAATAGAAAACACAAAGCAAAAGAACCATGAAAGACACACACAGTACAAACTCCCAGTCATGATGAATCACACTACAGGGAAAATCTCAAATCAGTAACTTTAAGAATTTCTCTGTCACTCACTCTCTCAAAAGAAAGATTCCAACGGATCAGTAAACAAATATATAAATGGACACATAGACAACACAGTGTGGGAAGAGAGAAGAGCACATGAAAAATTCATTTGATTCCATTGAAGAGATTTATAAAAATACAGTTCAACCCTTCATCATCATAAATGAATATTGATCTGAAGTGTAATTAATTTCTATGAAGTCGGTTTCTGAAACACGAATCCAAAAGAATCTCTACAAACTATATCTATATGTATTACGTACTGAGAGTTATTCATTGAGACAATAAGTTGATACACATACACCAGTTTTGCTTACTCATTGATGAGTAAGAGAGGTCCCAGAAGAAGTTGATCCAAGATGTTAGTGAGGTTCCTCATTTGTGGTGGTGCTATTAAGCTTGACAATCACAAAGCGAAGCTTGGAAACATCACTGACGCGGAATGACCAGTTAGTTGCCTTGGTAATCTTGCTGCATCCCCTTAAAGACGGAGAAGGGGAGGAGCGGTTATCTATGTAATTATGGTCTTTGTTGGCCGTTGCTCCGGTCGAGCACTCTCTTTTTTTTGTCCAATTCTGAACATGAACCCCTTCCTCTTTCTTCTTTTTCTGGCTCCCACTCTCAGAACTATTAGGATCAGCAGTACATTCTCTCTTCCTTTTCAGTGTTTTCATGTTAAGAGAAACAAGACCAAGTCTGCTCCTTTTCTTCTTTGGAATGAAAATGTCATTCAACTCAAACCCTTGCTTGTCGGCCAAAACCATTTGTTCCCTTCCCTTCCGAGCAAAGAAGTTGATCAACTCTTCAACAACGGTCTTTTCGTCCAAGAGCAACTCCATCGATTGTTGGGTTGCTACATCAGCCAAATTCTACTTTCATTTTTGTTGAGAATGGCCCCAAAATCCCAAAGAGGTGTGAATTGGAAACCACAAGAAGATGAGGCATTGTGCAGAGGGTGGGTTTCTATCTCTGAAGATGGGGCTATTGGCACCAATCAATCAAACAACTCATTTTGGTTGCGTGTGTACCAAAAGTTTTTGGAAAATGATCCGGGTATGAGCGGAGCCGGGGTACAATCACTGCAAGCTATTGCTTCTCGGTTCAAGATCATCAACCAACAATGTTCTCTATGGAAGGCATGTATGACAAAGGCCAATGCAAGGCATGTAAGTGGCTCCAATCTTGAAGATGTGGTGAGTACCCATTTTTTTCAATGCTTAAATTTATAATTCTAATTCTTTTCAATTATTAACTTGATTTTTATTTTATTTCGTGGGTAGAATATGAATACAAAAACACTTTTCTTGAATGATAATAAACCTCCGAATAGGCCTCTCAAGTTGTATCATGCTTGGCAAATCTTAAAAAATGGTCGTTAGCTTCTGCTCAAGGGATAGACTTTGTCGTCCACAAGCGTCTATCTTCTGGGTAAAGTATGGCTCATGTGCAACAACATCATTCAAGATGCGATAGAAACACTCTCTTCTCATGTGGAACTGCCTACTAAAGTCCACTGGGGGACAAAGTGGTATTTCACAGAATAGTCCTCCATGAGACTCTTATGATGTTTTTCTCTCTTTTGATTCTTGTATTCACAGCCTGTAACAGAACCAACATGTTTGGATTGTTGAATTGCTCCAACAAAAACGGATGGTGTTGAACGACCATTGCAACCCTCTGTTAATGAAGATCATTATCATCAGAATCATCATTGAAGAAATTTTGCATAGCATTCCCACGTGAATTCATTGTAAGAAGGATAATGAGATTGAAAGAGATTGTGTGGTCAATTCAGTAGAATAACACTTATTAAATAGATAAGAGAATGAGATGACCTACATGTTTGAAAATAATTGAATGAAGATAGGAAAAGATTGGGAAAGATAAGGGAATCCAATAAAGTGAGCTAAACAAAGAAGAGCAATGGTTCAGAACCTGATTGAAACAAGACAATAAGAGATGGGAAATGGTTCAAAAAATAATTGAATGAAGATAGGAAAAGATTGGGAAAGATAAGGGAATCCAATAAAGTGATATGGACAAAGATGAGCAATGGTTCAAAACATGATTGAAACAAGACAATAGGAGATGGTAAAGGATTTAGAAAATAATTAAAGAACACAAGTGGAGGTGGGCAAAAGTTCAGAATATTATTGAATGAGGATAAAGGAATCCAATGAAGTAAAAGCAAAAATGGAAGACAATTATGACAATGGCTTCAATGAGGGGTTCGAATTATTCTAGGTATGCACAAAAGTAGCAGCTCCAGGGATTGCTGCCGCTTTTAAAAAAATTATGTGGTTCCATTGTTTTTAATATAAATCGTGTGGTAGTTGTTTTTACTTTCAAAGTCCATGAAAGAAAATGTTGTTGTACTTGTTTTTATTTTTAAGTGAAATTATATTGTGTTTTGGAATTTTTTAATTTTTCAAGGTTAAAATGTTTAGAAAATTAAATCATGAAAGTTGAAACAAAATAATGTCAAGAAAAATTAACTATAATTTTTTTTTAAGAGTTAATAATTCTTAAATAATTTAATAAAGTTGTGGACTCAAATTATAAGTCTGAAAGGTTAGAGGAAAAAAAATTTGATATATTTGACATAGGACTGACCCCGCATCATAGCCGCGCACAACTTACCCTGCATTATAGCCGCGCCAATAGAACTGACCCAGCCCGGCCCGATAACTCTTTGGGGCTGAAAAGACCCGTTACTAAGCCCGGCCCATTTTACAAGCCTAATAACAACAGAACAATCAGAGTGAGCAGTCATTAAAAATCAGAGCGGGATTTTTAAGAGGGATGTATTCAATTAAGATTTTAATATATTTTAATTACAAGATTATAATGTAATGGATTTCAGCCGGATTTGTAATTACAAGATTTTAATAGATTGAAATTACATGATTTTACTTATGATTTTAATAGATTGCAATTTTCACTTATTGTATTCTCCAAAATAAATTTGCCAATGTCTATTGGATTCGGGTTAGCCACATTCGCCTAAACCCATGACCATTCCCAATTTTTGTCAAGACTTCGACCATAAATTGTGGGGTAAAAAACACACTTTTTTTTCAACTGCTTGTGGCATAATCTCATATTTGGTTTTGTAGAGGACTTTTTCCTCCAGCAGTTGCAAATGGGTTGGGCTGCTGTAAAAGGGCAGACTGATGAAATTGTCCCCTTTGCCTGAGTTCGAAAATTAGGCCCCAAAATACCTCGAAAGGGCAGTAGAGCCTTAGGAAGTATTTCGGTTATCTTCACCAACCAAAATAATGGCAGCTTACAGGTAATTTCTTCATGCTTATAGATAAACTCTCAAGCTCAGCGTGAGTGGCATGTGGCATGGGAGCAAAATCAACATGAGTTTAGCACTAAGAGAAAATTTAGGCTTGCTTTGAGGGAAAAGGAAGTGTTAGGGTAAGGAAGGAGAAGTTTTGTAAGAGATTTGGCTAGGAAAGGGAAAATGAAGATCAGAGTTCTTCCAGCAGCTGTCAGAAGAGCAAAATGGAGAAGAAGATGAACAGTGCACGAGATTGCTGGGTTTTTATAAGTTAGAGAGAAAGCTTGCTCTCTGGGTCTGAGTTGTGACTAATGGTGAAGTATTTGGTGGTTTAGGTAAGTTTCCAGCAGCCTGACAAAAGCTATGTCAGACTCTAGAATGACATGGCAGAATGGAAAGTGGGAGGAGATAGAGGATTAGGGAACAAAATTGCAGAGATTTCATGGTGAGAGATGAAGCTTGCTCTCTAGATGTGGGTTGCTTCCGTTGGGTAGAAAATGCCTCAATTTATAGCCGCTGGAAGCTGACATTTTCCAAGAAACCCTAATGGTTTCCATCCCATTTTGTCAAGTCTTTCCCTTCCTTTCTCCCTTCATCCCTTCAATCATCCTTTTTTGGTGAAATCTTCTCTGCCCATTTGCACAAAATCAGGGATTTTTTTGGAGCTCAAGACCCCCTTTCCCGCGGCTGTTTCAGACTCCTATTTTTAGCCATCCTTCTTCCTTCTTTTCTTTCCTCTTCCAAGGCTAGGTCTGATGAGGGAATGAATTGAATATACATGCTGGTTCAAAGGGTGCTTCTGGCAGCTCGCAGGCTAATATTCTTGGTACTTTGAATGTTTCTTGCTTGGAATATGCTCCCTCCATGTGCTGGAACCTCCAACAGCATTGTTTAATGAACCTCCAGACCTCCCTTTCGTGGCTTTTGTTTCTTCAGCTAGGTGCTGGTGCCTTTGTAGCTCATTATGGTAGTTGTATGGGCCAAGATGGTTTATCAGGCAAGTGGGCTATTTAAAATGTTTGGGCTTTTTGGTTGAGTCAATAGGCTATTTTGATTGGGCTTATTTTTGGTTGAGTTATTTTTGGTTAGGTTATTTTTCTTGGGCTATTGGGCTACTTTTCTCTCTTGTGCTCACCCATATGTTTGGGCCTAAGAAATGGGCTTGAGTCTCGAGGCTCCCAAGCAACCCGAGACTTTCCATTTCTCGGCCCATTAATGGGCCTCATGTTGATTTATTACCATCCATACCACAACTCACTCAAGCAAGCCCCGTGCATTCGAGTGGTTTGGGCCCACTTAGGCTTGTAGCATGGTTACTTGGCATGGCATGTCGCTTGGCATGGCATATCGCTTGGCATGCTTTCAATTATTATGCCTGACGGGATAATTAGCATGGATTTGCAAAGATAATGCATTTTATAATCTTAATCTCGATTCCTAACATGACGAATTATTTATTTGGCATGGCGCGTGTGGTGTGACTCGCATATGACGAGCCTTCACGTACTCAGATATGTGACTTTTCTTAATATAGTAGAGTATTGGACCGAAAACTTATTTGGGCCCAACCGTGGACTTTTTTGGGCCTCAACAGGTTTGATTGTAGTTTTTTGGGCAACTGATACTTTTGGTCCTGTACTCCTCTATACTTCACCTTCATATTTTTTTTCATATTTTTCCTTTTTCTCTATTCTTTTCTTTCCTTTTTCCTTCTCTTCTTCTTCCAACATTTGTGTTTTTTTTTCTTCTTTGGTTTTGGTAAATTATTGGCGTGCCCTTCAATGGAGGTAATGTGTTATAAATATAATGGCTGATTCTTCTTTCAATATTGTCATGTCCGCTAACTCTTTGGCTCTCTCTCCTCCCTTGGCTTTCTTCTCCATCCATCAATTTCTCTATAACCTCCTTCACCCTTTCCTTTCTCACCACCACCATAATCTTCTCATCCTCTACCCACTTCACTTGAAATTCCACACCAAACACACCCCTCCTCCAAAAGGAGTTAAAGGCGATTTGACGTGCTTCCAGTCTGAAGACATACATTTGTTTTTTATGCCTAGTCTGGTCATTTTTTCAGTTATCTGCTCTGGTGTGTTGGTGGTTCTTTTTATTGGTTCTTACCAAGGGCAGTGCGTGAGTTATAAGAATCAGACATGTAAGGGTGAGATTTGTTATGAGATTTGGTATTTATATTACCCACTTAAAATCTCACACAATACACCACTTAATGAAATACTTTAAAATCGATAAGTTTTTGAATACCACAGTACTTTTATTGACTACAATGAAGGCAAATATTATACAAAAAACAGTAAAGGTAAATAGAATTCTTTTACCTGTGAAGGCAAATATTATACAAAAAATAGTAAAGGCAATTCTTTTACCTGTTGTAAGTACCGAAAAAACAACAATGAATATAACATGTTGAACCACAGAGAACAAATGCAAATAGGATTTAAAATCTAAAGAAACTGAAAAACTAGAAGGAAGATGAGATATACCTGATATTGTGATGAGAGAGCAAAGCAAGCCGGAGAATCAAGCGATTTGATAACAGTTAATCATGAGCATAGAGAGGGGATTGAGAGTCGAGATAAGAAGAGAAGACGAGAGAACAGTTAAGAGGAGGCGGCTGGAAAGAAGATGAGTTCAATTAGGTTTCACGAAGTTAAAAAATAATTTTAGTTTTTTTTTTATTCTCAATGAAATTTGGAGTTTTTTTATTTATTCTCAATGAAAATTGCCAAATTTCATTGAGAATTAAAAAAAAAACTAAAATTATTTTTTAACTTCGTGAAACCTAATTGAACTCATCTTCTTTCCAGCCGCCTCCTCTTAACTGTTCTCTCTTCTTCTCTTCTTATCTCGACTCTCACTCATCGATCCCCTCTCTATGCTCATGATTCACTGTTGTCACATCGCTTGATTCTCCAGCTTGCTTTGCTCTCTCATCACAATATCAGGTATATCTCATCTTCCTTCTAGTTTTTCAGTTTCTTTAGATTTTAAATCCTATTTGCATTTGTTCTCTGTGGTTCAACATGTTATATTCATTGTTTTTTTTTCGGTACTTACAACAGGTAAAAGAATTGCCTTTACTATTTTTTGTATAATATTTGCCTTCATTGTTGTTTATATTCTCATGGATTTTCCGAAGCTTTTTTCGGCACAACGTGCATCTATTGGATGTGGATCTTCTGTATTGGAAGATAAGGAATTTCTCTCTTTTATTTTCTTCCTCTAGTGCGAGAGAGACCTCGACCTTCTTCGTTTGCCGCCTTCTCTTCCTCTAGTCATTAGCTCAACTTCGCAACCATGGTATTTCTCTATCCAATTCTCTGTCTGTTTCCTGTGAAACTGAAATGAAAATGAAAAAGAAAAAAGAAAAGTTTGTTTGTTCATGGTTCTGATCTGTTACATTTGGTTTTTTCTATCCTAGATCATCTCAAACAAGAACAGGAGAGAAATCTCCAAATACCTTTCCAAGGTACACACAAAAAGCTTAGTATTTTATTTATTCTCAATGAAATTTGGTTCTTCGTTTCCATTTTTTTGTTAAAATGTATTGAATTTAATTTGAACAGAGGGAGTGTGCTATGCAAAGAAGGACTATAACTTGGCAAAGCACCCAGAAATCGATGTGCCAAATCTGCAGGTGATTAAGCTGATGCAGAGCTTCAAATCGAAGGAGTATGTGAGAGAAACTTTTGCTTGGATGCACTACTACTGGTACCTGACCAATGATGGTATTGAATTTTAGTAAATTTAGGTTTTAGCCAAAAAAAAATTTTCACTTTTGGAAAAAGCCAAAGCTTTTTCAAAAAAGACAGAAAAACCTCTCAACTTTCAAATCAAAGACATGCAAATGTAAAGGATTCCTTAGGAAATCCAAAAATAAATAAGGGCAATTTTGTCCATTTTGGCTTCTTTTACAAAATTTCTCTCTTCTTTGTGTTTTTCCAAAGTCTCCCTTGAATTTTTGAGGAACTACCTCAACCTTCCATCTGAGATTGTCCCTGCAACTTTGAAGAAGCAGGCCACGCCTCCTGGTCGCCCCTTGGGCCCATCTGGTGACCGCCCACGGTAATTGATTTGTTTCATTGTCTTTATTGGTTATTGGATCTATTGATTTTTCTAGTCTGTGGTTCTTTGTTCTAGAGTATGTGATATCGATCATTTAGGAAGAAGTTATTTAACTGATTTGTGTAAGTAAACTGGGACAGATATGTCCTTCATTTTCTAGTTTGTTTGTTGAACCCCTTGATTGGTTGGAATGTAATGTGGATATTTTGATGATGTTAACAGCGGCCCACCTTGCTTTGATGGAGGAGAACGCAGATTTGGTGACAGGGATGGGTACCGTTCAGGTCCTTGTGCACCGGGGGGTGATTTTGGTGACAAGGGTGGAGCACCTGCTGACTACAGACCTTCTTTCGGGGTAATTTTTCCGTTTTCAAGTAGTTTTTTTTATATTTCTCATTTAGGTACTATGTCTTTTTACCATGTATTGGGTTGGAGATCAATTGCCTTTCGATAATATTCTATTCTTCTTTACATTTTGGAATTGTATTCTATCTAATCCGATCCCATGTACCATGTTACTGAGGACTTGACAAACTTATATACTGCCCACTTAAATGTGTTTTGTGATTAGAAGATTTCCTCACTTTGGAAAAATGATGCATTTGTTAACTCATTATGCTTCTTTCTCCCGAAATATCAGGGTAGTAGGCCTGGCTTTGGTCATGGTGCCGGTGGATCTGGTGGAGCCGGTGGTTTTGGTGCTGGCCCAGCAAGCTCTGATCTCTCCTAAGGAAATGGTTTACTTAAACACCGTTTGGTTTCCTAAGTTTGCATTTAAGAACGGATGACATTCTGTATTAGGAGACAATAGCAGTTTTGTCTGACTTGCAACGGTCTTAGGATTGTATTAGATGTTTGTTTTTATTCTATATGGTCTCTGAATCGCACTTTGCAAAATTTATTTCTCTGTTATCTATATGTCGTTGAGAAATTTTGTAAATGACGTTTAATAATTATTTTCCTGCGTTTTTTGACCCTCATTTTTGTGCGACCTTCAGTAACATGTCATAGTTTTTGTCCTGGTATTTTGAATGGAAAATCTTAATACTTATCTGGTTTGATGTGTTCCAGCATCTGTGTAGTTTGTATGAGTTTCTTATAGTATCGCACTTCTCAATAGAAAATGTTATCAAAACACTTAATGTATTTAGCGGTCAAACCAAGAGTATGGCTCGTTATTAGGGACAATTTCTCTCATAATTTAGAGATTTTGTGACTTTAAAAAGAAGCAGCAGCAAAATTAACCAAAAACAAAGAAGAAGAAACAAAACAAAACAAGTCTTGCATGGGCGCAGTTGGCTTTTGTTGGCCCAAGCCTATTCGTGGGCTAGACTAGAGTAGCTCAGCCTTCCTAATTGGAAAGATAGGACTTAAAAACAAAATTTGGCTCGTCCCAAATCTGAGGTTTCAACGCATTTTCACCCCAGCCTACAATTCTTGGGTTTAGTGGAAATAAAAAACAATTCTTGGGCCTAAAACCCTCCATTAGGCATTTGCTTGAGTTTTATTATTTGATGCACAATCTCACTCATTATACGAAATATAATAGCTATTAATTAATTGAAGTGTAATCCAATACAATAGGAACATTCACACAACTAGCATCATCCCCATTCGATTTTATCCCAATGTTTCTACAATTAATTACTTATCTTCTCAACGTTAAAAGAGGTCCAAAGTTTGAAATCGCTTCGCCTATGAATTAGGAAATAACTCTTTTAGGGGTCGTTTGGTACATAGACTTGGCTTAGATTGGCTTGGACTAAATTTAGTACCATGTTTGTTTCATTTAATTCTAGTCTTAGATGGGATTGCTATTACCGGGCCCACCAAAAACACCTCTTTAGGAGGGGACTACTAATCCCATATAGAAAGGGAGGATTAACTAATCCTATATAGAAAGGGAGGATTAACTAATCCTATGTTCACCAATGTATAAGTTGCTAATATTATATTGTAATACTAATAACATATATTACTATTATTATTATTATTATTATTATTATTATTATTATACTTACATACACATATACTATAATGTACATATATACATGTATATACACATATATAATATATGTATATATACATACATATATATATGTATATATACACACACACATATACATATATAATTTTATATATAATATACATATACTGTTATACATATATACACATATATTATTATTATTATATACCCATATACACATATACATATACATATTATAATAATAGCATACATGTATATATGTAATATATTATATTATATATTAATGTACATATATACACGTATATACACATATACATGCAGTGGCGGATCCACCATGAGGTCAATGGGGTCAGACAACCCCATGGCGGCTCTGTAAATGGCTTGGAGGTCCTTGGTTTCTCTTGGCAACCATGGGAGATGACCCCATGGAGAAGAAGGTACAAACTGCTAGGGAGAAGAAATAGGGAGGAAGAAGAAAGAGAGAGGGGGGGAGGAAGAGGAGAAGAAGATGCAAGCTGCTAGGGAGGAAGAAGGAAACCAAAGGGAGAAGAAAAGAGAGAAAGGGGTAGGAAGAAGAAGAAGAATACTGAGAGGGAGAAGAAAGAAAGCTGACACAAATTTTTATAAAAAGGAAGATATTTGTTAGGGTTTTTAAAAAATATTTGTTAAATTCTGTGTACACCTATAAATATTAAAAGTATACATTAGTAACATGAAGTTATCATTTACCATAATGGTCTGTAAATTGAAAAGGACTTTGGGGTCAACGGTTAGGATAAGTGTTATCCAAGCCAAGACAGTCCCTAAGCATAATCCATGCTAAGACAGTCCTGTGTAACAAACGAGCCCTTACATTCTCCAACATGATTTTAAAAAACATATTTATTTTTCAACAGATAAAAAAAAAGAGCAAAAGTGAAAATAACAGGCTATGGCCAAGAATAAGGCCCATAAACAAAGCTAACACAAACAATGCCCATAAAATCAGCCCCAAACCGACTACAAATAGCATACATCAGAGATTTAGGGTTTACTTTACCGCAGACGATAACGAGTGCGAGAGAGACCTCGACTCTCTTCGTTTGCCGACGTCTCTTCCTCTAGTCATCAGCTCAACTTCGCAACCATGGTATTTCTCTATCCAATTCTCTGTTTGTTTCCTGTGAAACTGAAATGAAAAAGAAAAAGAAAAGTTTGTTTGTTCATGGTTCTGATCTGTTACATTTGGTTTTTTCTATCCTAGATCATCTCAGAGAAGAACAGGAGAGAAATCTCCAAATACCTATTCCAAGGTACACACAAAAAAGCTTAGTTTTTTTATTTATTCTCAATGGACTTTGGTTCTTCGTTTCCATTTTTTTGTTAAAATTTATTGAATTTAATTTGAACAGAGGGAGTGTGCTATGCAAAGAAGGACTACAACTTGGCAAAGCACCCAGAAATCGATGTGCCAAATCTGCAGGTGATTAAGCTGATGCAGAGCTTCAAATCCAAGGAGTATGTAAGAGAAACTTTTGCTTGGATGCACTACTACTGGTACCTGACCAATGATGGTATTGAGTTTTTGAGGAACTACCTCAACCTTCCATCTGAGATTGTCCCTGCAACTTTGAAGAAGCAGGCCAAGCCTCCTGGTCGCCCCTTGGGCCCATCTGGTGACCGCCCACGGTAATTGATTTGTTTCATCGTCTTTATTGGTTATTGGATCTATTGATTTTTGTGTAGTCTCTGGTTCTTGGTTCTAGAGTATGTGATATCGATCATTTGGGAAGAAGTTATTTAACTGATTTGTTTAAGTAAACTGCGACAGATATGTGCTTCCCTTTCTAGTTCGTTTGTTGAACCCCTTGATTGGTTGGAATGTAATGTGGATGTTTTGATGATGTTAACAGCGGCCCACCTCGCTTTGATGGAGGAGAACGCAGATTTGGTGACAGGGATGGGTACCGTTCAGGTCCTCGTGCACCGGGGGGTGATTTTGGTGACAAGGGTGGAGCACCTGCTGACTACAGACCTTCTTTCGGGGTAATATTTCCGTTGTCAAGTAGTTTTTTTATATTTCTCATTTAGGTACTATGTCTTTTTACCATGTATTGGGTTGGAGATCAATTGCCTTTCGATGTTATTCTCTTCTTCTTTACATTTTGGAATTGTATTCTATCTGATCCCATGTACCTTGTTAATGAGGACTTGACAAACTTATATACTGCCAACTTAAATGTGTTTTATGATTAGAAGATTTCCTCACTTTGGAAAAATGATGCATTTGTTAACTCATTATGCATCTTTCTCCCGAAATATCAGGGTAGTAGGCCTGGCTTTGGTCGTGGTGCCGGTGGATCTGGTGGAGCCGGTGGTTTTGGTGCTGGCCCAGCAAGCTCTGATCTCTCCTAAGGAAATGGTTTACTTAGACACCGTTTGGTTTCATAAGTTTGCATTTAAGAACGGATGTAGGAGACAATAGCAGTTTTGTTTGAGTTGCAAGAGTCTTCGGATTGTATTAGATGTTTGTTTTTATTCTATATGGTCTATGAATTGCACTTTGCAAAATTTATTTCTGTTATCTATATGTCATTGAGAAATTTCGTAGATGATGTTTAATAATTATTTTCCTGCGTTTTTTGACCCTCATTTTTATGCGACCTTCAGTAACATGGCCTAGTTTTTGTCCTGGTATTTCGAATGGAAAGTCTGATACTAATCTGGTTTGATTTGTTCCAGCATATGTGTAGTTTGTATGAGTTTAGTATAGTATCGCACTTCTCAATAGAAATGTTATCAAAACACTTAGGAGGGTGTATTCAATTAAGATTTTAAAAGAGTTAAATAGAGTTATAAAGTTTATAGAGTTCAACATATTTCAATTGATTTCTATAAACTCCACATAGAGTTTGATTGAATTCCTAGATTGATTTTAATGGTGTTTGTTAGAGTTTTATTATAGATTTTAAAAAAGTTGATTAGAGTTCTAAAATGTTTTTTTTCTCTTTTTCTTTTGGGGCTGTTTATCGTTTTTCTAGGTTTTCAAAAGAGAAAAGTACCTTTACAAAAACATTTTGTAAATAACGTCCAAACCATATACATCCAAAGAAAATGAAAAAAGGGCATTTATTTTGTTTAAATGTGCAACCAAATAAGGATTTATGTTTGCATGTTTATGAAAAATACGCAAAAGAAAAAACATAAAAGTAATTTCATCACCAAAAAAATGATAAGTAAACTATAATTCTAAATGCATAAAAATAAATAAGTATCTGCTTCATTGCTTATATTTGACTTCCATCATTCATAGCATCTTTCCACAATATCTAAAGATATCCCAACCCTCCATTGGTTAGCATTCTCGCGTTGTTGTTCTTGGATTTGAAAAACTTGGTCATAATTATTTCCCTCATTTTCTGGTAACGATGACGATATTGAATGCTCGTTGTCTTCTTCAATAGGAAATTCATTAGAATGACACTCATTGCGAAGAAAATTGTGCAACCCTGCACAAGCCAAGACTAACTTTGCTTGTGTCTTATATGGAAATGGAGGGGCATACTTAAAAAATGTGAATCGTGATTTAAATATACCGAATATTCTCTCGATTATGTTTCTTAAGGAAGCATGTCTAAGATTGAACAACTCAGCTGCATTTTCAGGATCTCGACCTTGACCGGCAAAATCCTGAGGATGATATCGAACACCTCGAAATGGAGCTAAAAATTGACGTTGATTTGGGAATCCACAATCCACTAAGAAATCCAAGGGGTATGTGAGAGAAACTTTTGCTTGGATGCACTACTATTGGTACCTGACCAATGATGGTATTGAGTTTTTGAGGAACTACCTCAACCTTCCATCTAAGATTGTCCCTACAACTTTGAAGAAGCAGGCCAAGATTCTTGGTCACCCCTTGGGCCTATGTGGTGACCGCCCACGGTTATTGATTTGTTTCATCATCTTTAATGGTTATTGGATCTATTGATTTTGTAACTGGGATTGTTTCTTTGAGTGTTTTGCGAACTGGGTTTGATCATTTAAATAACTTATGGTAGCGACTTGTAACTGTGGCCTTATTTGATGGAGTTCTGTAGTTCTTTGTTTTAATTGTAAATGGCTACACAAATAGGTGGTTTGTGTTATTTGGTTTAGCTGATAAGGTTGTATGCACGTGTAATTTGGATAGGAAGTTGTTCATTTGGTAAACTGCTTCAACAATCATTTTGTTGTTGGAGTTCTGAATGAAACTGCAAGACGGTTTTAAATTAGATTGTATTGAATACTGCAATTGATTGAAATGTGGTTTGGTTGATGGAATGATTGAGAAGTTTGTTAGAAAGCTTGAATTTTATTTGGGTTTAATTTAAAGTTCTAGGGTATGTGATATCGATCATTTAGGAAGAAGTTATTTAACTGATTTGTGTAAGTAAACTGTGATATAGATATGTGCTTCCTTTTCTAGTTCGTTTGTTGAACCCTTTGATTGGTTGGATTGTAATGTAGATGTTTTGATGATGTGAACAGCAGCCCACCTCGCTTTGATGGAGGAGAGCGCAGATTTGGTGACAAGGATGTGTACCGTTCAAGTCCTCTTGCACCAGGGGGTGATTTTGGTGACAAGGGTGGAGCACCTGTTGACTACAGAGCTTCTTCCAGGTAATATATCTGTTGTCAAGTAGTTTGTTTTTATATTTCTCATTTAGGTACTGTCTTTTTACCATGTATTGGGTTGGAGATCAATTGCCTTTCGATGATATTGTTATATTTAATTGGAGTATAGCCGCACGGCTATACTATTTATTTAAAAAAAAAACAAATGACCCTTCTAGTTGCATTAGTTTATACTTTATATATATTAATTTGCTTGTTTTGACATCTCCAAAGGAGATATTAAAGGGAGTGAAATTTCACAATAAATCAATTTAAGAGTTCAATTTTTTTCTTCTTCTTTTTTTTTGTTCGAATGTTTGCCTTTGGTCTATCTCGTTCTCTCAAGTGCTACTAAATTCTATTACTACACACATTATTTGTTGTATAGAATTGCATGTTGAGTTGGAGTGTTCTTTGGTAATTGTTTCACATTTCAAATAACACTTTACATGAAGAATACTACCACATCACTTACTTCTATACCCATAAATATTTGTTTGAAATTGTTGTTCTGGTTGGCAAAGAGATTGCAAAATCACCATCTTGCATTTTTGTTACAAGAAGTAAGAAATAAACCCCAAATATTAGCCTCTCAGATTCTTTCATAGTTAGTAAAATACGGAACATGAAAAATATGAATAAAATACATTGTGTTTTATTCGACAATATTTTGGCAAATTACAACTGATATGTTCGGCCACTATATAATATTTTAATATGATTTATTGAAATTTTCTAATATATATTATTTTTTTCAATAATATGCGGAAAGTTTGTGTATAATACATGAATTTTGTGTGTATAATTGAAAATTTTGTAATAAAAAAAACAAGTGTATTCAACATGAAAATTACGTATGCACGTGTATAGTACGAGTATTAAACGTGAAAATGCTAAATTTTTTATACCTGTAATAGTTCTAGAAAAGTAAAAACTCAAAAGGGAACATTAGAAACTCAAATAATTGCCTAATAGTAATGGATAATTCTCTAAACTACTCTTATCAATAAACAAAAATGGGGGAAAAACAATTAACAAAAAAATCACTGTATCTATGATAGTATAGCCGATCGGCTATACTATTTATATTTTAAAAAAATTATATATATAGGACCCCAATAAAGCCGTGCGGCTATACTATTCATAAAAAAGGAACCGCCTGGCGTCAAAAATGTATAGCCGCGCGGCTATACTATTTTTATTAAAAAACCCTCAAGTATACCCGCTCGGCAAGACTATTTATTAAAAAAAAGGTGACAATGGGTCTTGACTGAAAAAAAACAGTTAACCAAGGTGGTTGGTGTGAGTGGTTCGGCACTCTCATTCCTTAAGAGAGGTTAGGGGTTCGATCCCTGCTCTCGTATGGAGTCACCACTTTGGCCAGCACTTTACTCCTTACGGGCCGACCCGGTGTGAACGGGGATTAGTCTGGGTTGTGGTTAAGGCTTAAAGGTGTCATCCATAGTTGGAGCCCATCCAGGACCACCTCGTGGTTCAGACCAAAAAAAAAAAAGTACTCTCACTCTCACCTGACCAAATGGGTTGGGTTGGGCCTCTTGCCAAAAGGCATGAGCACAAGCAACTTATTTTTCCACATACCCATTCGATCAAGGCACCCACGGTGTCCTAGGAAAAACATACCATAGAAATATTTCCCATTTAATACAAACCAAATTGATGTGATATTTTTTTGCGTAATTTTTCAGTTTTTGTTGTTTAGGGATCAAATCAAACTATGATCTAAAACTAAATACAAGCATAATTTTCTATCAATCCCGAACGTTGAAATATATATATATATATATATATATTGCATACAAAATACAAATATATTTGAATAAGCTATGGTAAGCCCATTATAACATATCTAAATTAACTTTTGATAACTAAAATACAAATATGCTTATTTAAATTTTGACCTAGAAGATTGATTAAAAAGAATTATTATCTACATTAATCTATATATATAAAGCAAAAGGCAGAGAATTGTGAAACATTTAAAATACCATAAAATGCCCTTGCTTAATGCAAACATTAAGAATTGAAATTATTAATTAAATGAGGATAATATGGTAAATTCACATTTTTTATATTTAAAAAAATTAAAATGAAAAGAAAAAACAAAAATGGATCATATTTTTATGGAACACAACTACCCATTATCTTTTTTAATTCTAAAATAAATTTCAATTTTAAAAAAAAAAGCCTCTGGCAAGCGCGGAAGCGCGTCACGTTGCTGTATAGTGTCTTCTTCTAAATACTGTCAATTTTTATACACTCCTAATCCAAGACTATTTTTATGAAAAAATAGTTCGCCACACTCAATGTTGCAGTTTTTTTTTTCGTACTTCTTTTTTCATGTAATTAGTAACATGAGGAAGAAAGATAGATAAAAACGAAGAATGATATCAAATAAGGAAATTTCTCTCTTGGACATGGCCCAAATGAAAAAGAAAGGAAGAAGTCAAGGACAAACACTTCTCAGCAGCTCAAGAATATAATAATGCAAATAAAATAAAAGCTAGAAACAGAGAAAGATTGGAAAAAGGAAACACACAGCACTTCAGGAGTATAATGGATGTGCATCAACGAATATTCCATTGCTTGCTTATGTTAGTCTCCCCGTCCTCCTGAGTCCTGCCCTTGATATGGAACTTTATGTGTTTTTTTCTTTAGAGTATTTCTTTAAAATAGTTACCCATTTTTTTTCTAACTTTTATTAAAAATTAAGATAAAAGGTAATATTGAAATTTTACTATTTTTTGTGAATTAATTATGTTCTTTTTCATCATATGTTGGGGAAACTAGAAAGCACATGATAGTTAAAATTATTTTGAATAACTAGACAAAACGTAAAAAACAAAAACGAAACACTCCTCATACAGTCGAGGTTTAGTTTTAAATCACATGCGAGCTAGATTAATTTATCAGAGCAGTGTGTCTGCTTTCTTACACTCGATTTCAAAGACCCTTTTTGTAGTTTAGAGTAGTGTAGAGTATTGCTCCATTAACAAAAAGAAAATTGAAAGTAAAAAATAACTAATTTAACGGGTTACCAGCTAGTCTCAAAATTATTATTTCATGTGTTTTGAAGAAAATCCAATTTGTAAAACCTACATATCTTGATTGAAATAATGGAAGAAAATTTGGTGTTGTGGTAAGAGAAATATGAAAATTTGCCATTTACTTTTTTCGGCAAGTTATAGAAATGGTATGTGAATTATTCTCTTAGTTGAATTTTTGTTCATGACTTCAAATAACAAGTTGTTGTCGTCCTTAAATTAACTTTTATATACACTTGATTTTTCTTCTTTTATTATTTATCATTCACTAAGGAGGGGGAGAGGGAGTAATATATTCAATCAGTCAATTCCCCTTTCCTAACTTTGGCACATTGTTACTGTGTATGTGTGTGAAAAAACTTCATCCCCCCTTCTTAACTTTGGCATATATATATAGACACGTTTTTTAATTTTATACAAATGATATTAGAGGAGGGGGAATCGAACCTAGGACCTCGAGTGCATGGGGTAAATGCTCTTAACCACTTGAGCTACAAGCCCTTTGCAAACTAACTACATGTTTTTGTCCTTTCTCTTAGGATAATTGTGTTTTGGTGCATCTTAAGTAACCGCTTAAATTTTAGGGAGTTTCACTAAAACACCCAAAATGAGGGTTTAAATTATAAAAAAACTCAAGCACTATTTAAACATATAAACACACCCAAAACTCATCATTACACACACTCAAAATCCATTTATAAACACACCCAAAAAGTTGACTTTGGGGTTGATTTTGGGTGTGTTTCTATGTTTAAATAGTGCTTGGGTTTTTCTATAAATACATGTCTAGGATTGGGTTTATTTATAAATTTGTATTAATTTTATTGTAAACCAGCCTCTTGACATACACTTAAGCGTGTGTCAATATTTTATTTTATCCTTGTGTATAGAGAATTGTTGTTGGGCATGGACTCAGTAATCCTTTTTATAATTTAATTATTTGCATTTTAATAGACTATTATTCTATGTATCTCTCTCTCTCTCTCTCTCTCTCTCTCTCTCTCTCTCTCTCTCTTTATTTATATCAAAGGGGATATAATTTTATTAGATCAATAGGAATTAATAGTACAAAGAACACAAACTGTAAAAGGAACCATCCTCATAGCAATACGGCATACATGGTTAAAAACTTTTCAAGTGATCTGAGCCAACCGAAAAGCTGAAACAACATGGAGAGAATCACTCTCGATAATAACTTTTCTATAACCATTTTCTACAACCATAGTTTCCCCGAATCTAGTCCAATGACATCAAATATATAATTGGCTGCTAACCGGCATAACTCTCCTAAATAGACTAAAAACACCCAACAAACTCAACTAAGTTTATGGAATTATGAGAGAGAAAAAAAAACACAGACAATTCATATAGTTTATGGACTTTATTAACCAAAAAAAGATCAAGACTAAAAATCTAAAATCCAACAAAAGGAAGAACAAATGCCGCTAGTCTTCCTCGGAAGACATGACATAAAGAGCACTACCTAGTCACTTCGGATTATTTGAAATTTACTCATAAGGGTCTTTTGCTTCATATATGTTAGCCTCTCGACCCATGTTCATGACTCACGAGTTTACCAATAGTCCTTTTTATCATCATTTGTTATTTTCTAATTTATCATTACTTACAGAAAAAAAAATAATTGTTTCCTAATGTGAACTCTTATTTCTTGTTTCTTTTAGTTTTTATTATTTTCATTTTCATGTACTATTGTTTTATGTATTTGTCCATTTAAGTGTGTCAATTGGCTTTTTTGTTTAATTTATTTACTTTATCCTTATGTATAGAAAGATTTTGTTGATAAAGACTCTCATTTCCATTTTGGTTTTGTAATTATTAACGTATTTGTCCCTTTAAAATGAAGTTGTTGTGTTTTGAAATTTTTTCTTAAATGAGGGCAATTTTGAATTATGCGAAAGTCTAAATATTATCTTAAGAGGCTTGCTAG